CACCCATATGTTGTTTTCATAAAATGAAAGTATATTTTGATTTGAGCCTTATATATCAACACTTAAAACTATAAATCGGTGGGTGGAACTGATCACCCACCAGTTCCAGTTCTATGATCCAACTTGGATTGGACTGCTTCAATTGTACCAAGTTACTAAATAATTTAAGAAAATGATAAGAAATTTCTAAAATGAAAATAGGTGGGCATGCAAGAAAGTCTAGAGGAATATATGACCTATCTCAATGGAATTAGAAGAATATATTACATATTTCAATGGAAGTGTCAAAGAGCCATAACTACAGAATGTGTGGTTCCTATCTAAGTGGCACACAGTTATTTTACAGTTTAAAATGTGGCAAATCACAATACTGACATCTATATAATTCATCATATTTCAATACAAGTGACAATCTTATAAATAAAACATTTGCTAATAGATAGCAAATAATCCAATAAACTAATAATGATCAAATGTAACATCAAAATGAAAAAACAGTATTCCAAAATAGTAAAATAAAGTTTTCCTCAATTCACTTTTTAAAAAGAAAAAGGGAAAGTATAGAGTGAGACCATTTACTTATTATACAAGGTGGTCACAATAATCTTGACCATTGGATGTAAAGTTGGGTGGCTGAAATTATTCCATTGACCAAAGTCAAACTTCAAAAGAAACTTTCTTGAACTTTGGGACACATCCAACCTATCAAATTTCACATCAAATGGTTGTAAAGAATGGTGACCACCTCGTATAAAAAGTAAATGGTCTCATTATATACAATCTCAAAGTAAAATACATATTTATCATAAAGTTCATAATGCGAATAAGAAATACTGATCTAGCTGTTGATCATCACGTAACACCTAGACTTAGCATTGATTACTCTAAACCAGTGTTTTGAACCTGGATCGGTCGAGTGAACCAATCATAGGCAAATTCAATCCGAATCGACGAGTTATCAGTTTGGATCGGAGATTTGATTGGTTCTCTAGTGTGAGAATCATGCCCTAGAAAATTAAAAACATAAAAATTTTAAAATAAAAAATAAAAAATTGTAATATTTGGGAACAATGGTGATCTGGTTGGTTCAGGTCGTGGTTCATTCCTAGTACTTGCCAAGAACAAGTTCACCCCGAGAGATTCGCGATCCAGATTTGCTATTCTTGATCAAATTGTTAGGGTTTTCAATCACTGTTCTAAACACAACCAAGAAATACCAAAAAAAGTAGACATAAAAATCGTTAAAATTATATTAAATAATTCTTATTTTTTGGAAACCAAATTAAAATTTTATTAACATGGCATATTCAAACTTAAACCAACTAAATAACAAATCATCAAATAGATGTGTAAATCATGCCTGGCATGCTCTAGAACAAACACCTTGACAAAATTCAACATAATAATTAGAAAATAGTATTGCCTTTTTCCAAAGAAACCAATGACTTTTACTATGCTTTTAGAATGAGATTTTAGTTTGACTGCTTTTCAATTTTCGCGGATTTAAGTGTATCACGTCTATGTTTCTATATTTTTTTTCCACACAATCTAGAGATAAATTTATTTGTGGAAACCCTAATAACTGTTGTTTGTTGTTTACACACATTTGGGAAATATATGTCAGAGAGGGCTAGTGAATTGTTTTCACACCTTTTCGAAAACTATTTTTGAAAAATAAATTGATTAAATTATCCTTAAAAATTTTGAGGGTATTTTCGTTATTGTATTTTTTTCAAAAATATTTTTTTTATGGGTGTGACTCTATGAGAGGATTGGATGCCTTAAATTTGGTGTTAATATGATTTGTAGAAGAAAATAAAATTAAAATAGTGTTTCGGCATGGCATTAAAATTGATGCCAACTCAGCCATCCATCATCATCACATTTCCAAGTTATTTGTCATTGAAGCCAACTTAGCCATCTACTCATCAAATAGCGGGGAGAGTGACATATAGGAATGGGATTGTATACTTTGAGACCATTTACGTTAATTTAAAGGAGGTCACAATTATTCAAGTTAGATGGCATGGGATGTGTCATGAAGTTCAATAAACTTTTATTTGAACTTTGAGCCTACTCAAATACACACTCAAAACTACTTAATTTAAAATAAGAATGAACAAGAGTGATTGTAACATCCTTATACTAAAATGGTCTCTCAATATAGTTAGCCTAGGTGAATTCCTAGAAGGATGTAGTTTGTATAAGGCTAAGGTACTAAACAATCAAAATAAGTCGCATCTTCAAATAGTAGTGAATGATGTTGTTCCGGTATTAGAAATCTTTGCGAAGGCTTGAAAATTTATTTTCATATCTATTTATAAAATTTAAATATTTAAAATATTGTAAATCGAGCAAATCTATGAACACTTAAATTTTTTTGAAAATTTACGGTCCATAAGATATATTACAAGATGCACTATTTCTAAAAAACTCGAAATCTATTGATTCTCTTGTTCATACATCTTGATTTCAAAAGGAACGATTTGGGGATTTTTAGGCATCGAAAGTAAATTTTTGATGTGTGGGTTAATTTAAGGGAAAATTACAAAGAAAAAAAAAAACTAAACTACATTCTCTATGCAACTTACCCTAACTTATCTATGCAGCTTACCCCAACTTAACTTTTTTCTCTTTTTTCCCCCAAAAACTTATTTCTATGCAAACCCTCAACTAAAAAAAATGCCTAAATTACCCTCCTTTACTTTTACCTTACCCACCCCTCTCTTTCCTCTATCCCACCAAAATAGGGAGCTCCGGTATCATGTAAGCACGATCCGGCAATAGCGCTCCAGTACTATGTAAAATGTGGTCCAACCGTAGGGCTTTGGCACTGCGGTCTGGAAATTGAAAAGGCAGTTGCAGAAGGCGATCGAGCAATTGTAAAGGGCGGTCCGACACTTGTACCTTTGGCAATGTGATGGTACACTCGGTAATGTGCTATTGGGTCCAAAAGTCAACGTCAAATCTATCCAAAATGATTTTTGAATGTGATGGTGCACTCTGACAATGTGCTATTAGGTCCAAAAGTCAATATCAAATCTACCCAAAATGATATTTGTGTCGTATTTTCGTCTAAAAAATTGAATTTTTTTCTTTGGGGGTTATTTGAAGGCTTGTTTTGAGAAAAAAAGTGGAAGAAAAGATTTAAGTTGCATAAAAAGTGAGTTTTTTTATTATTATTATTTATTTATTAATTTTCCTTCATTTAATTGTTTTAGTCCTCACCCCTATATAAATCGAAACATATATTCATTATGCATCTCTCTTGCAAAGATTTCTAAACCCTCCCGCGATTTGAATGAGTAGAAGACTGTGTCTCGATAATTTCCCTGCAATTCTCCTTCTGAAATATCAAGTGAGGACGAGAGTCGTCATGCCCCCTCCTCCTCGTTTTCACTCCTCTTCTTCTCGTGCTCAAATCTACACCACTCTCAACCATCAGGTTACCTGCGAACGCGAAATCAAACGCAGCAAATTCATAGCCATCGCTGCTCCGATCACCAATGAAGTATCTGCGCAATCCTTCCTCTCCGAGGTTCCAGTTTACTTTCTCTCTGTTACTTAATCCCCACAATTTCTTTATTTTGTATAACTCTAATGAGGTTGGTTTTTCGCATTTTTGTGGCATGAGGGTTTGGGTAGAAACCCAAGTTCCCATTTGTGTAATCTTAATAGAGTGAGGAAATTTTGGAAAGGTTAATAGAAAGACGGGGGTATTTGGTTAAGTACTGAAATCTAAATGGTTTTCTCTGAAATCAATAAATTCTTCCATTTGGATTAATAGGAAGTAGGAAGAACAATTGGGTTTCTTTAAAGTGAGATGAGGATTTTGTGTTTGAGTCCCTAGCTACCATGTGACTTACGAATTGTAATTTTTTGACCATCATAGTTGCGTTGCATCTATTGATCTTGTGAATTGGGTTCTCTTAGCGCAGTTAACTAAACAAACACTTTGATTTATCCAACTATTGTTGTTAGTATAACTCCTCCATGAATCTAAGGAAAGGAAAGTTGTGTTACATCACAAACTTATGTTTCCCCATACATGTGAAACATTTCACCTTCAATTATGATATGAGGTGATCATTAATAGGGACCAACATTGCTTATGCCCTTAATTAATTGAGAGTTGAATTGAATAAACTAAATCATATATAAATGGTTCAATATCCGTATTTGACTTGATCAAATGGTTGCTTGAAGGACAGCGCCTTCGAGTTATCGGCTATCTTATCATTTATGTGGAAGGAAGAAACTCCGTTCTCTTGATGGAAAGCTATTCTCTTTTTATGTCTTTTCCCCTTCTTCATCACACTTCCATCTTTCATGTCAATGCCATTCTGTGTTGTCAATGACTCGGTAGTGGAGGTCATCGTATTGGGAGATGTTCCTCATTCCTTAGGTTGATGTTCTGTTTTCCTCTTTACATTAAGTATTGTTCTTCCTCTTAGCATAGTATGTGAGCCCCATTGAGATTTCACTTTATCATCCTAAAATTGTACTTATTTTTGTTAAGATGTAGTTTACTCATTCAACAAAAGTAGAGCTCTTTTCTTTTCTCTTTCTAGATGCCCTGTTCACCTTTAGATTTATAGGTATGTTGTTTGGATGAGAACATGCACCTTATTGAATTAATCTTATGCAATAAATGCAAATATACAATCTTTTACTGCATGGATTTCTCACATAGAAAGTGGAAAATCGCAAACAATTTCAAAAGGACCTAGTTTCTATGCGGCCAAGCCAGCATATGTAGAAATGCGGGCCTCTTAATAAATCTAGTTTTGAGATGGATTTTAAGACTTAATTTTTAAGGACTTGTAATCTCTAACATGGAGATCATGAACATGAAAAAACAAAGAAAATTTAAAAAATAGAAATGGTATTTCTACTAAGAAAACATTTGGACCGTTAGTTTCCATTGTTTTTAGATGAAACTCCATCTTTAAGATGGATTCTTTGCACTTTCTGGACCGCATATGTAGAAATGCGGTTCAGACCGCATGAAACAATTTTCCATTTCAAAACCCATAGATTGGCAAAAGATACTTTGGTTAGTTTGTACATCTTTTTTTTTCTTTCTTTTTTAATATACCCATCAAAAGAATGTATTTTTTGTTTTTAATAAGTCGCTTGAATTGTTGAATAAGAAAGAAAAAAGTGATTTACAAGCACTCTAGCCATATGTGTTAGACCTATGATTATAGACCAACTCTGCTTGAAGTTTTACGAAAATGTTGCAAAACTTAGGCTTTGCAAAAACATGATAAATCTCCAGTTTGTCAAGAATAAGAGGTTTTATGTTGATGGACTTCCCGGTAACTATTAATTAAAAATGGCTTCTAGGGGGCTGAAATGTTGAAAAAAATTGAAAGCACACTGACCTCCTAGTACTTGCACCATCACGAATATCAAGTTTTTATGCTTAGCTTGATTCTTCTCGATGGCAGAATTGCCCAGTTCAACTGGATTTCCTTCCTAACCACATATAATTGCTTATTTGCTTTTGTTTCTTACGTTACCAGATTGACCTTGTCCAGATTGGTTGCAAGTATATGATTTTGTCATTCATTGATTTTAGTGGATAACCAATGCAAGGATCATTCCAAAACATTTAAACAAACATCAAGACAAAAACAAAATATGCTTAGGATTGGTGGTCCATCTTTTATAGGATGGTACATCACAAATATGAAATTATTGATGAATTTATGGCTTTTTCACAGGCTAGTTAGCTTGATGATTTCTTGGTCTGCATGTATACATGTGGTTTTTTTAGAGAAAACAATAATGACGTATGGGCATGGAAGTGCCAGCCAGTGGTGGCTTTTATTCCCATGTCCCTAGATTTCCTTCTTCATCTTGAACAAAGCTTTATCAGGTATTGTAGCATAGACCTGTGTTTTAATAACAACCTACTAAGATCCTTCATATATTTATATATATTATTGCAGAAAGAATGGATACATCGTGAAAACCTGCATTATAGTTTATAAGTGACACATGGAAGTGCCAGCCAGTGGTGGCTTTGATTCCTGTGTCCCTAGAGTTCCATCTACATCTCGAACAAAGCTTCATCAGGTATTGTAGCATAGATCCTTCATGCTACAAATAACAACCTACTAAGATCCTTCATATGTTAATATATATTATTGCAGAAAGAATGGATACATCTTGAAAACCTGCATTATAGATTATAAGTGACGCATGGACCAAAACTTCAGGTGTACAACAATGAAAGAGAACATTTTCTACCCCATTTCCAAGGTAGGTATGGCATATTAAATGTGGATACTTTCTGGCATATTAAATGTAAATACTCTTTGCTTTATTCCCAAATGGAATGTCTTGATCAGTCTGGATGCTACCTTCTGGCAACTAGATGAACAGAAATCCTTCCATTTTAAAGTTGTAAGGTTTTGTTTTATAGTCCAAATCAACACTTCAACGCATGGACAAGTTGTTCATATTACTATATCATTATATATTTAGCATAAATTGTGATAGTTAATAGAACTTTGCCATTTAATGAATTTTCTATTATACAAAAATCTTTTCCCATTGCATTAGAGAACCCCTTTTACTTTCATTGTTTTTGGTAAGTAGCCCATTATCCTTTCATGTTCCTTACAGATTTTGTGGTGCCTTATGATTGTTATTGTAACAGATCTAAAACTTTCTCTTACATGTCAAATTTGACAGTAGTACATAAGAATTTCTGTCCTTATTATTTCTATGATGTTGAGAACAGTTTCATTTAGATATTGCAAGGCCATTTTGTAGCATGTCCATGGGTAATTTTATTATTATATATGCCTAGTAACATATGCTTTATTATTATTATTATTATTATTATTATTATTATTATTATTATTATTATTATTGTTATTATTGTTATTATTGTTATTATTGTTATTATTATTATTATTATTATTATTATTATTCAACGACTAAGGCATGAAATGAGTGTATCAGAAAACAATTTGGTATTATGCCAAGGAGGTCAACAACTGAGGCTATTTTCCTACTTAGAAAACCGATTGAGAAGTTTAGGGCGAAGGGAAAAGACCTCCACATGGTTTTTGTTGATCTAGAGAAAGCTTATGATAGAGTACCTCAAGATTTGATTTGGTGGGTGTTGGAAAAGTAAGGTGTTTCCAAACACTACATCAATTTGGTGACAGATATGTACGAGGAGCACTAACTAGTATGTGAACAACTAATGGAGAGACAAGTGAGTTCTCAGTACAATAGGCCACATCAAGGGCCAGCATTGAGCCAATACCTCTTTGTCTTAGTTATGGACAACTTATCTAGGCACCTACAAGGTGTATGTTGTTCGTAGATGGCATAGTTTTGATCGATGAGACCCGAAACAGCATCAACACAAAGTTAGAACTTTGGAGGGATGCTCTAGAATCTAAAGGCTTTAAAATTAGTCGGACTAAGACAAAATATATGGAATGCAAGTTTAGTAATTATAAGAGTAGACACAAGGAAGTAGTTAAGATTGACGGCCAAGAAATACCAAAAGAGTGCACTTTCGATATCTTGGGTCGATAATCTAGGAAAATGAAGAAATTGAAAAAGATATCGCATATAGAATTAGAGCTAGGTGGGTGAAGTGGAGATGTACAACCGAAGTTTATATGATTGCTGCATTCCAATAAAGTTGAAGGGCAAGTTCTATATAACAACTATGAGACCAGCTTTGCTTTATGGGGTAGAATGTTGGGCGGTCAAGAAACGACATACCCATAGGGTGAGTGTAGCTGCGATGAGGATGTTGAGATGGATGAGTGGCAAGACAAGAACGGATAGAATTCAAAATGAGTACATTTGGGAGAATTTAGATGTGGTACCAATAAGCGATAAGATAAGAGAAAGTAGATTTAAGTGGGTTAACATGTGCAATGCAGATCCATTACAACAATTGTTAGGAGTTGCGAATTAGTTCAAGTGGAAGGCTGAAAAAAAGCAAGGGGTAGGCCCAAAAGGACATGGTTGAAAGTAGTAAGAAAGAATTTGTGTAGATGACCTCAGTTAGTTGGGAAATGGCTATGATGATGATGGTGTATGCTTTATCATGTATTGGAGTCACACAATGCTACTTATCAATTTGGTTCCGTAACTTTCCTTTATTTTTATTTCTTTCCTTCAAAAGACTTTGTCAAGGGCTTTTCTTTTTATGTAATGACATGGACTCCTTTTTTGCAGCGGCATATCTATTCTCACCAGAGAACTAATTTTGCATGTACAAATTCTTAACTTTTAATAATCTTTTATCGACGATCTATTGATTGAAAAATTGCTCTACAATAGTGTACTGTGAGGATGACATGTGCATATCATGTTGTCTTATGTGGGAGATTATTAAATTATAAAAGTTGCTTTGAATCTATCAAAAACAAATACTAGCAGAAGCTGCCGTGAAGCTAGTCATTCTGCTCTTTGGTTTTCCTAGTTCAAGTTTGTGTGATGATCTTGTTCTGAATCCAGGTTCGGGATCCACGTGCTACTCATAACTGTTGGGCCTACAAGGTAATTTTTCAAAACCTTCATTTCTATTATAAAATTCTCTGAGATTACATCTCAGTTGATGAGATTTGGTTTTACAGATTTCTCTGTACTACATGCTATCCCTCACTCATATGTCACTAAATGCCCATTCCTTTAGTTGGGAGATCAATTCCGGTGCAATGATGATGGTGAACCATCTGGTACTGCTGGCAAACCTATATATTCTGCAATTGCTTCTTCGGGACTTGACAAGGTCATGGTGGTTGTGATCAGGTGAGCAATATTAGAAAAGTTTCCCTCGAATATTGATGATAACTTTGATTGTCCATGATGGAACTTTTAGTTCTTAGACATTAATCATTGGGTAATCCAGCTGACTGCAGAAAGCATCATTTCATTGGGCTCATGACCATCTGATGCTGTGATGGATGGTGATGGCAGTTGAGAAAGGCCTACCATTGCTGTTCTTGCGGGTTCCACTCTCTTCATCACCATCCATGATTCCATTGGTTGTTAATGACCCGGAGAACAACAGTCTCCCTGCTCCATAGTTCCTTGGGCATAGTATACTTCCCCTCAATCATTTGGTTTGTTATGGTTCCAAGAGGTATCACCATCCTTATTTATACTATTCAATGTTTTTTGCATTGTATGTGACATATATTCAGGCATTTTGGAGGGATTAAGTTAGGTACTGGAGGATTGGTCAGGGCTTATGGAGGGGTTGCCTCAGAATGCCTGAAAGATGCACCAACATTTCTTGTCAAATCTAAGGTGATGAACCGTGGCTTGGTGTATCTAGTTAAGAATATTGTTACCTTCAATGCCACTTCAACTATAATCTCATAGGATGGCATGTAAGTCCTCTATGCAAATAGTTAACTAGGTTTTAAAGTATTTCATATATTATCGTTTATCGCTATATGTCAAAAACCTGTTCAAATCACTCTTAAACTGTGTTTCTGTTTGTTTATTTCAGGTTTCCATTCACCTAGAGGTCCCCTTTGATCTTTTAGGACGTATATACCATCTGGTGTGTTTTGTGGATTTTTTCATCTTTTTTCATGGTGCATTTTTGTTGTGGTCATTGTTGTTGTTGCTGTTATGTTTAACCTATCAAAGAAAGAACTGATTAATTATGTTGTTGGATATGTCAGCTAGAACCCTTTCATGTCGATGATATAAAACAGGACTATGAGAGTGGTGTCGATGGTGTGACACTCATTATGTTCAGGGTTGATCATGACAAGGTTGAGAGCCTGGAGAGCACAATAAAAGCCACGGGCAATAGGCAAGTCAGGTTTCAACTACAATAGTTGGATTGGTGATCACTTTACTCATAGTGTCCTCCAAGTTGCCCTGTATCTGTTGATTCTTGGAGTCAATTAGAAGAATAATGGAAGTGCAGAAACACAAAAAAGAAAAAGGAGAAGGAAAAAACAAAAATGAGATAGGAAGAAAATGAAGAAAAAACTGTTTAGAGAAGTTGTATCCTTGATGTGTAAAATGGTATTTCTCATGCTCTGAGATCCCACCATACTAACCAAACAAATGTAGATGTCATTGTTGTACAAGAATTTGGGCTTATATTAAACCTCCTTTTGTTGAAAGTTGGGGAGAGAGAGATATCGATCCTGCTGCATGGTAAATAATATATTTTATGTGAACAAATCTCCTTTATGCTTCGCTTTTTAGGGAGTTATAGTTCTTTTTACTTTTTTCTTTATTTTCATTTTATTGTGTATGCATAATTCGTTGATACTGCAGTTGACGGTTGATACTGTGTATGCATAATTCGTTAATTTCATTTTATTGTGTATGCATAATTCGTTGATACTGCAGTTGACGGTTGATACCGTAGATGGAACAGATGATGTATTTTATTTTTAAGTCATTCAATATTATTTTGTTGCTATTTAATTTGCTTTCCAAAAGATTGGAAAGAAAATTAAATAGCAATAAAATAATGACTCGAAAATAATATCAACGCTTGTGAATTTTATTACCGATAAGATATATTAGCCGGTTTTGTACGAGTTTTTTGAGTGTGCAACTCAAAAGCTCAAAATTTGTTAATCTAATCTGGTTGTATCCTTGGAGTGAGCTCGCTGGTATGAATTGCATATCAAAAGTTTTCAGAGTTAGGGGTGTTTATTATTATTTCAAAGAAAGCTAGTTTGCCTCGTGCCGATAGATCCCGAAATTTTTGGGTCCTAATACTTTTAAATATTGAATTTAATTGGGGTCCATTGACGACTTTATCTTGAGTGTTATCTTAAGTGTAATGGAGATTGTGTTAAAGCTTTTCACCCATGGCAGGTGGTTTGAACAAAGTGTACCTATTTAGACTCCTTGAAGTCCTCAATAAACTTGAGCATATCTCTCACCTCCTCATCTAAGCAACACCCTGCAACTCATATGCAAGGGGAGGGTTCACCTCAAACCCAATAGCGACGATCGGGTTGTAATATAGGTTATTGGCTGTGTTGAAGGGGATCTGATATCGTCACTTGATCATTGCCTTTTTCACTGTGTCCCTTTGAGGCTCATTTACTGCCCCATGGTGAAATTGCTGTAAAATCAAAAAATGCAAGCCTTCATACCAGTTTTGGAAAGAGATGGCATAAGATCGAATTTTGCATGCATACTCTTCTCAGATCAAATATCAATCTCAAAAAGAAAAAGACAGTGGCCCTTTTCAATTTTACACCAGCTTTAAAAAAGGCAATAGATTTATCCGAGAAAGCTAGTGTGAAGTCTCTTTCCTGTTAATTGAATAATAACATAATGAAAGTCCTCCTTCAAAAACCACATTAAAAGCATTTGTTTGACCCAAATTTTAAAAAACATACACCTCTTTCATTCTCATACTAAAAATAAATAAACTTGCACTATAGGAAGTTGAAAATATTCAAACTCGATGAGTGTGGGCTGTCTATTTGATGGAAGGGTTAGACATGAACCGTAAGTGAATTTTTTTTTTTTTTTACCCCAAGGTTGTAGTTGGCTTTTATCATCCTTGTATGACTAATTTGAAAAGCAGTTTACTTTAAAATTCTGAATTTTAGAATAAGAAAGAGGGATGAATAGAGAGAAGCTAAATGCATGAATAAATGAAGTTAAAAAACAAATTGATTTTGAGTCACTAATTTAAAAAATACATGAATAATTAAAAAAAAATGACTGAGTACTGAAAGACCTAGATCTAAATATCCATCTAATAGATGTCCTATATTTATTGTTGGAGAGGGATACATTCGGACCCTTCCAGGATGAATGTCTAAAAATTTCATTTTTTCGAGATTGATATTTGGTTGAAAAGCATATGTATGCGAAATTTTGGTCATATAAAGCCCACGATACAATTTATCAAAGGATTTTTTTTCTTTTTTTTTACCCCTAATTTTGTTGTTGGCTTTTAACATCATTGTATGAATAATTTGAAAACGCGTTTACTTTCAAATTCCGAATTCTAAAATAAGAAAGAAGGATGAATAAAGAGAAGATAAATGCATGAATAAATGAAGTTAAAAACCAAATTGATTTTGAGTCACTAATTTAAAAAATACATGAATAATTTTTTAAATAACAACTGTTCGATTATGAGTTTGTAAAGACCTAGATCTTAATATCCACATAATAGATGTCCTATGTTTATTGATGGAGAGGGATACATTGGTACCTTTCAGGATGAAAGGCTAAAGTTTTCTTCTTTTTTCTTTTATTTTTTGCGGTTGATCTTTGGGTTGAAACGCATATGTATGCACAAAAGGCCCTCAATATAATTTATTGAAGGAGCAATTCCATGAGAAACTATTGCATGAGAAGCAACAGTTTCCCTTTCAAAACCCTAAAACCTTCTCAATTGATAAAAGTTCTTTCCCAACCCACCGAGATGCAGACAGTCATAGCCATGTGAAAGATCACGATTGCAATCAAAGGTCTTTCCAAATCCATAGAGATGCAAACAATCAAAGCCTTGTGAAAGATCACGATTGCAAACAGGAGAATCCGTGGGGGATGGGGCAGATAGGGAGAGAGAGAGAGAGAGAGTATTAGGGATGGTACTGGACTTGTGGGAGTTGAGACAACAAAAATATCAGAGGAAGAGTGCTCACGACCATGAAAGAAGACTTATTTGTTTGTGAGAAGGAATGCTTTGAATAGTTTAAAGGATGTTTTAAAGAGAAGGAATACGTCAAAGGTAAGATGAGTCTCTCTCTCTCTCTGGATCGAAAATCTATATAGTGATCCGCCATAGTTCAAGGTCAAACCTGAATTAGATATTGGGAAATTATCAATTAGAGAATTATCAAATTACCCATGACATATGAACAATTTAACATTACCCACAGAAAAATACATGAGTTGGAATAGCAAATGGACAAAAGTTCCAGTAACAGAAGAAATTATGTTGGCATAACAGACATTAATCTATAAAATTACAGAAATTATTCCTGATATTCAGCGTGACTGAAAAGGCCCTTAGAAACAAGAAGAGGTCCAAAATAGACATTAACAAAGTTCATGGACTCCCCTAATTCTACTGATTAATGGGGTCTAAGCATAAAAAATAACAATAAAGTAAAAATAGAAAGTAAAAATAGAACAGCTGTTAGTACATGGATAGAAGTGAGGATGTTTCTATGAGCATGTTTGTACCAATGCATTCCAAGTACGAGAGAGCACAATATTGTCCAACATTGACCATCACATGCTGGCAGCATGAACTGCATGTTTCACATATCTCACAAGGGCAGGCACATTTTCTTGTTTGACATTATTTTCTTTGACAAAGATTGACTATCATAAGCGAGCTACATACGAATTTGCATGTGTCACATATCTCACCCACCGATACGGGTTAGAAGTCTTGGACTTCTTTGCTATCTGCAAGTACCTTACCTGTTCAAATATAGTAGTATTCTCATTAGTATTCAATTATGGGATTGTATACAATGAGACCATTTACCTTTGGTCACAATTATGGACAACCATCCGATGTGACATCTGATAGCTTGGGTGTGTCACAAAGTTTAGGAAATTTTTCTTTGAAATTTGAGCTTGGTCAATGGAATAAATGCAGCCATCTAATTTCACATCCAATGGTCAAGATTAATTGTGACCATCTTGTACCAAAGATAAATGGTCTCATTATAAACTTTTCCTTCAATTATTAGATGTCAATCCCAATGAACAGGAACAAACAAAAACCAGTATTAACAATAAGAATAAACTAACTATTCACCCCGCAAATTCCTCGGGAAATATTCCCAAAACCACAAAATTAACATGTGGTATATGCACACGATGAGAAATATGTATCACTAATAGTACGTGTACATTCATCCTACACGTCAAGCAATAAATAAACAACTGCAGGACCATAGACCATCCGAATAGTACGTCCCCTTTCGTATTGGAACATATAGCAATTTTTCCACATGTAAGAAAATAAGTACCCAGTACCCAATCCACATGGTATAATATGAATGCCTAATCATAATTCCCAAGAATAAGCATATGAGAAAGTGGAGTTTTTGATGAAGTCAAAGAACTTAAAAGTGTTTCCAAGGGTGGATTGCATCACAGTTTACCACCCATGTTTACAATAGAAAAAAAAAAAGATAAATTGCAGTTCTTTTAAAATTTAATAGATCCAAAATCACCCTAATCTCTAAAATAAACTTCAATATTAGTTTTTTCTTCTTTTTTTTTTTGGAAAGGTAGCAATGAAAACAATGCAATCCGTTTTAGTCTAAGGACTAACGATACCAAGGATGCTGCAGGATATAAACTTTAATGTATTCTAAATGACAACGAAGAAAGCGAAACCTCCACAAAATAATTATAACCAAGATAACCAATTCCTAATGAATATGATAACTATATGGGGAAGAATCTTCAGAGAAGTAAATTGATGCACCTCAAGAATTATTTAGGCAAGAGCATGGCTGACAAGAAGCAGATGGTAATAAAGTTCCATACTGCACATCTAATATAGACAATTCTTCTAATGTATTGTTACCTGAAGCCTCGAAGCATTGTACATTGGTATTGTGAATGTCATGCTTACTGGTCCTGCTTCCTTCATTATATTAGCTGCATTTAAATGTAATCAATCGCATACAATGTTAATAAGAAAGTTTACCAGCCAAAGGATAAGCAACAAATGCATTGGAAACTTAATTATGCAGCACCGATGAGAAGTACAAAACCAAAACAAAGTTTCATCTTACAGTGCGATTCCTGAGAAAAAGTGAGCTTTGCCCGCAGTGTATGCTCAGAGCCACCAACGATCTGTGAAATTTTCTTGGCAAGGTCATTTTAATGATGCATCTCTTGAATGCAATGAGAACAGAAAATATGCCTATTATTATTCTATCGCTACGAAAGAATCCCAATTAAATTCACATGCATAAAAAAATCTAATTTGCCGACAACTATGCAATTGGTAAGAATGACATAAAATCCATCAGAGCTTGCCTTTCTCAAACTCCATTCCAGTTTCTTTGTTGATTCCTTGAAATCAGTTGTGTTTCCTACTGCACCAGGATCCAACTCAAAACTAACCCTGTGGGAAGTCAAATAACACCATCAGAGTTAATGCTTTTCCAAAAGGAAACCTTCTGTCGCTTCAAAGCAACACAGCATTGAACATTTCACTTTTTTGATAATGAAATCAACTGTCCATTATGAAAAAAAAGGACCAACTACTATTAAGAATGAAAAAAGAAAAACTAAAAAGAGAACCAGAACCACTGAATACGGATAAACATCAGACATTTGCTTCAAGCTTCAGGAGAAACAATTATTTCTAAAATTTAGACCATATGTTAATGGAGACATGGTCAGTTTGATCCTTCCCAATTCAACATCTGACTCAAAATTGCCGCACCATGACATCATATAGAAGTAGAGATGGAGCTGGCACCACCCTTTGAACATAAGCTCTCACCACCACACTTACCATCTCAACTGACCACTGGATACCTCTAAACGATCTTGATTTCCAAGACTTTGAAACTGAACCAATGATTCACCAGAAGGGACAAGAACCCAAGCAGCATCCCTCCCACATTCAGGAAGGTCATCTTCAAAAAGTGGACCAATTCACAAACTAGAGGTATATAAATCTTCCCCATTACCCACGGTATGGATCCATATCCTAGCAATGGAGGATAAATGAATTAAGTGTTAGCTCATCACCTCCTTCATAGGATGCAAATGTTCAAGCCATGGTTGCCGGGATCTCTCAATCTAGGTGGCAATCCCACCCTGGAATCTCACCCTGCATTTCAGATATCTTCAAAGGATCTCCATTTTTAAAATCCAGGAGCTCGATTTCCTTGTTAAGGATCTCGATCCTCACTGTTGAGGATCTCGATCCCCACCTTAAAGACCAAGATAATGACCAAACTGATGATTTTCAAGCCAACTTGCAATGCAACTTTACTTTTAATATAATTGCATTGCTTGTTGGCTATAAACCAAGAGATCCTTGCTTGAAAGAGTATGCATAGTCCTAGAACATTTTTCTATTTAAGGTAAGGGGCAAGATCCCCAAGAGTTTGGGATCGAGATCCCAAAAGTTCAAACATGTGTATTGTACTGACAACGCTCCCATCCATAGGGATCTTCTAGCTTTTCACAATCCCCCCGCTCCCAATCCCTATCCTTCTCCTGGTTCATACGAGATCCCAACAACTATAAACTAAGTGTTGGAGACCCGTTTGTCTAGCAATGATATTCCTTGTACCATTTTTTTTTTAAAATAAAAAAAGAGGGATTAGAGGTTCCTTTCCTTGCCAATGCATCTGCTTCTTCGTAAGACTCTCTCCACAGTGCTGAAGAATATCCTGAGTTAGTTTAGTACATCTCAAAGTGTCTTTAAAGATACTGGTCATATCCCAAGGGCAGGTCTTCTCCATTAGCCTGAGTGATCACATTGCTTGAATAACCCACTGTAATGATTGCTACCCACTTTGGATCTAGGATCCTCAGACCAATGAGCAAGTACCATGCCTATGCTTCACTGGAGTCACACATATGAAGACATGCACAGTATGATGCTCCTTCAAATTATGTGCCTGTGAAGCTCTTTGAAGCAATGTTATTGGATTCACTTCAGAGAACTCTTCATTTTGGCTCGAAAGAAAAACACGTCAGCACTTTGGCCGATTCGGGGATGCCTTTGTTTGTAAAAATAAATAAAATTCATACAGTACATACATACATATATACATACATACACAGGAAAGGTGCAGTCAACGCCAACCGGCCTTCTGAATAGCATACGCAGGATGGCTCAAAATCCTTATAAGCACATCCAATAGCCACCGTATATGGACACGTTATCATTTTTAATAAATCTTTTTGAGCTACGATTTTGGGGAGGTGCAATAAACCTAGGCTGACATGAAAAAAATATTATACATAGCATAAGAAAAATAAAGAATGCCTAAAATGCCCATGCTCGTGTATGTTGGCTTGACCATCCAGATTGGTAAATCCGAGCTGTCTAGCCTATAATGGGGCATAGGCTAGCCAGCCCATAAAATCTGTATACACAAGCATGCCGTTGTGCCCACAAACACACCTACGCCATACCTGCCAGTTTAGGCACCCGTACAACCAAACATGCACAGGCTCTCACGTGCATGCACGCATATACATCCATACATAAGTACATATATATTGATGAGGGCATTGCGTCCTTCTATGGGACAAATTTTATTTTATTTTTATTAAGGGTTTTAGTTTTTTATTTGTTTTGGGAGTTAAAACCAAGGTTATTTGGACTTCTAAATATTTTATTTATGCTAGGGTTCTTATGTCGTTTGGGTGTTGTAGACAATTCAGAAGCAATTTCGTTATTTTCATGTTTTATTTTAGTTAGGGGTATTTTAAGTTTTTTTTTAAGCAAAATATGTGTAAAAGGAGAAAGAGGGGCGTCCAGCCCCTTAGAATGTTTATTTTGAGAACTTTGTGAAGAAAGGAAAACCCTAGAAAAGTTGAACATTTTAATTGAAGGTAATAGAGAAAGCTTGGTAGCACCTCCCAAGGTACCTCACATAAGTATATTATATTAATAAATATTTACATCATTTTATATCTATAACTATCTTAGTAGAATCCAGTGTTAGCATTGATCTCATATTGTATTGGTCTTATATTAGTAATGACAACAGCACCTAAAGCATCTACAAGACCCAAAAAAAAAATTGAGGGAGCCAACAGAATTGCTCAACACAAAAATAGTAGAACTCAAGAGGCGCGATTAACAAACGATAGGATAGTTATTCATCAACACGATACTATCTTTCTCATGCATCAGAAGGGCATCATTGAACCTTATAGTTTGCAAAATTAGAATGCATTGGTGAAACTCTGAAAGACTTCTATATATCAAGTCCTTAGAAATTTCTAATATTCTCCAATGTCAGCAAAAGAATGAATGCCAATGACAAATTGCCAGGTGAAATAAAATAAAAAATCTCGAAGAAGCATGACACTCTAGAAGTCCCTTGTATTTCTCCAATGACAATCACATCTGCAGAAATGACTAATGGATGCGACATTGGCAAGATTGATATTCAAAAAGGGCCATATGGCATTCCCGAGATAGTGATTTCTTTAGGCCAATGGAAGAGCACCATTCGCTAAAAATTCCTCAAATTGCTGTGGACAAATTTACACATCAACAAATAAGCTGGCAAACATGAGAGGAGGCTGAACTAGTAGATGGATATCAATATGCTGTTGGAGATTTGATATGTAAATAAAACTCTAGTCGGCTTCTGTCATTTACAGATGCAACTTATGTACTACCAGAAACAAGAAGAGCAATTCATAGAGGAAACACCTAGCTGTATATTTTGGGAGAGGCATGTGCACTTGAATGGTGTTTGCAGTAATTGTCGGGGAGAAGTCAGCACGGATTTTCAGAATCACTTCAGCCTGTCAATTTAACAGATAAAAAAGTTTATTAAAATTTTGCACATTTCATTAACATAACATGTTTACACCTACATTACAGAAATCTAGTAATCACGAAAAACAAATGTTACTGGAAAGAAGCCCAACGTGCCTTGAAATGTCCTGCTTCTTCAATCAATGCATTAATTCGAAAAGGAGGCTTAAACTCCTGAGTCATACGATAGTTCATAACGGGAAACTCTCCATCAGGAGGCACCTAAGAAATAAGAAAGGAAAAGGAATTTAGCAATCCATGAGACTGATCTTAATAGAAACAATTTCTAACTGATCTTAACAGAGACCCCAATAAGTGACTTTTTTCTTTTGCCCAAACCAATATATGTTCTTGTTCAGCAAGATCCCCGAGCAGAAGAGGAGCCATTTTTTTGTTTTTTGCAGAAAGAAAGACCATAATTTTATACTTACCAAGGACAATGTCCGGTCCAAATCAAAACTGTCAAGATGGACAGACTCATGGAAATTGCAATCATCAAGAATCACAAGCCCCCCTCCAGTGGAACTTTTATAATCTGAAAACAGTAGAGAGATTATCATCTACATATCACATAATAATAATAATGGACTTAAGAACTATAATAAAGAAAAATATATCATAAATCCGATGGACTATGGGTATCCTCAAAGTCCATTGAGGCCATCACCATCCAACGAAATACTGGATGGCTATGGAGAAAGAGTGCAACTCACTAAAACATGCCACCCACAATGGAGGGTCAAACTCTCTCTGCATCAGTGTGCATCATTGCATCAGACAATGATGACCGCATAGATTACTTTCTTTCACAATCCACACACATGAGCTACACACAATTTATGCTGATTATCTCATGGACATGGTTGTATAACACTCACTCAAGAACAGTGATAGAAAACTCGGCAGAGTACACTTGGACTTGGCCCCCTTGCTGAGCCAAGTTCTCAGGAACAACTGGGGGCAATTAAAAAATAAAAATTTGATATAAAATTATATCAAATTGTGAATCAATGTATGGATATTTTTTATGTAATCTCGATGATTTTTATGCAGTTAACATTCTTTAGATTTAGTACTTTAAGATGCATTTCATGATAGCTCTAACCCTCCGTTCTCTTGGAGGGTCTCACTCCCGAGCCCAAGCCAAGGTCATTAAATGAGGAATTTCACATAAGGTTATGGTTATGCATTTCCGAGAGAACTTCATCTTCATTTCAAATGGTGTTTCGACTGGTTTGTTATCTATGAGACAGCATAAGCAAAGAGGTCTCATACATGATTATGGCATCCACTATAGTAGCCTTGCATAGATTAGGGAACCTTAATACCAAGGACATTGAAAAGATAAAAATCTTCCTTGTAAAACTGTTGCCTGAATTTCCTCGAGTAATAGGAATTTGATGCTCAAGTAAGAATCATGGTAAAGTTTAGGGAACCTGAATACCAAGGACATTGAAAAGATAAAAATCTTCCTTGTAAAACTGTTGCCTGAATTTCCTCAAGTACTAGGAATTTGATGCTCAAGTAAGAATCATGGTAAGTATAGTACTTTTAAGCTTTGAACATCCAAGAAAATACAAGACATCATCGCTAGAAGCCAATCCTTAAACAACAAGAAAGTGAACACAACAGCTCAGTCTAAAATTGAGATGAAGCAAACCATCACAAAATTTCTCATTTCAAGTTATGCGAACTTGTTAGCAGCCCATACAAATTTTTCATACCCAAAGTTGAAAGAATTGGCTGCCCGACTCCCTAGGCAGCCTGGTCAACAATCCGTCTAGGAAGGTGGGTCTAGGCGGGCCTGCCCAAGGTGCCCACCTAGGCGGGCTCAAGGCGGACACCTAGACGGGTCTGGGGGCCCACTAGTGCCTGCTTCCCCTTAAAAAAATAAAAAAAATACACTCAAGGCCTATTTAAGGCCCTCTCTCTCTCTCTCTCTCNCTCTCTCTCTCTCTCTCTCTCTCTCTCTCTCTCTCTCTCTCTCGTCTCTACTACGTACTCGTACTCGTACGTACGTACGTACGTACGT